AACTGGACTTAGGTCTGGGACTCATACAGCCTTGTAAGAAAGCCAATTTTGGATTTGGTGGACCATGTTTGCGTTGCCATGGCAGTATAATTTGGATCTTTGCCCTGGCAGAAGACTGAGTGACAGTCTAATTAAGAATGTCATGCACTCTACCATGGTTCCCATGCTAACAATGGGCATGAGGCGCTTTGACATGCAGTCTCCCCAGATCATTTAGATCCTTGGGTCCTGTTACATCCTCTTCTCTTTAGCTCATTCCACAAGTTTTCAATATGATTTTGCATTTGGGATCAATATGGACTCAGAAGAAGACCAACGTTGATCATCGTTATCTTTGTTGAAGCGTTATTCTTCTGGAAGAGCCAATGACAACTTGTTTCAGTTTTTCGGCTGAAACTTCCAGAGTTTTATTTAAGGTCTCTTGGTATTTTATAGCGGTTCACAATTTAATGGACTCTGGTTTCTGGACCATTTGGAAAAGGAAAAGCTCCACATCATCGCAGATCTTCATTGGGTGCATTGTCACTATCTCTGGTCCTCGAGGGCCGCTGTTCTGTAACTTTTAGATGTTCTCTTTCTTCAACACACCTGAATCAAATAAGCTGCTCATTCCTGGGTCTACTTTTTTATAACATTATACATGTATAATAACACACATTTTCAAAACACTATAGGACACTGTAGATACAAGTTAACGACAACATAAGAAACCATCAAACTATCATCAGTTTATGCAAATACAACATGTAAACAGATTTAAAGAGATGTGTTTTTTATGCAGTTTTTAAGAATGTGACGCCATGATGAGAATGTAATTGATTGGACTGTAGTTTGAGAACCCTGATCTAGAGCCATGGGTCAGTGTTGTGACACTTTCTTCTCTCTGGTTTACCACAGACTTTTCCTGTAGGAGGTCTGAGGCATGAGACTACCACAGATCTGGGTTCATTTTATGTTTTGTGAACCATTTTGTGAGAATCCAGCTATGAATCATTATCCTGATGAAAGTCCCAGTGACAACCCATTTTTTTTTCAGTTTTCTGACAAATCTCTCGAGTTTTTTATTTTTGAATTATTTTACGTTGGGGTGCCCCCTACAACACTCCCAGGGCCTTTAGAGGAGAAACAGGCCCACAGCAATACAGATCCTCCACCATACTTAACCCTGAGCAGGAGCGTGGTATTGTGTTCATAACCAGACCGTAGTTCATAACCATAACCAGAAAGCTCAATACCGATCCCGTCTGTCGCGTTCCTGTTTGGACGGAACAGTAAAAGAAGGCATTTTCTCTCACTCCTCCCAAACAACCATTAGGCATGTACATAACTCCTAATGTCTGTTATGGAAAGTCGGCGACCACAAGATGGCATTTTCTCCAACAGTCCTCTAATTTTGAGCGTGATAAATGTGGGTCCTCATCAAGCCACGGCCTATTCCACGATGCATTTGAAACAAAACGTCACAGACTACTAAACAAAAAAATGATGGATACGCCAAACAATTTAAAAAGGAAAGTACACATAAAAGGAAATGCTAAAGCCAGTGATGCATTTGGCACTAATGATTTTGTAAACAAACTGTTATTTGCCAAAGGGTTACTTTTTTTCCCCTCGACGAATAATTGGTACGCAAAGTTTGAATACTTCCTAACATGTTCGGTGCCACTGCAGTACTAATTTAATCGAGGGACGAGTCCTGTAGTTTTCCTTTAGAAATACTTGAACAAATCCCAAATTTCCCATCAAGAAGTGACGTGTTCCTTCTGCGAAAATGTCTCTCTAAGTGTCCTCTTCCTTTCTGCAAACTGCATGAGTACAATTAAACTTTCAGCCAATGAATCCTTAATATTTTTATGTGACATCGCAGCATATTAGTAAGAACCATAAAGCGAACATCAACCGGCGCCTTGTCAGCCTCATGCATTGATCCCTTCCATGAGAACGCTCAGCTTCTCGCTAGTATCGCTCGCATGCAATCAGCTTTTGCAGTCTCATATCTCTTTACCCATCAGCTCCACCGCATCAGCAAGAGGTGCCTTGCTTAAGGGCATGTGTTTACAGTGGGGAGGGTGAAGATGCATGCAGTGTAAGATGACACTATCAGGGGAAAAAAAAAAAAAAAAAAAAAGTGGTGTAGTTGTCAAAGTTCCTCCAGTGCAGCAACTCAGCCCCGAGGTTAGAAAAACTCTTAAGCTTTATTTTCATTCACACCTGCTGGGTGCTTGCCGGAGATTAGCTACCGAACTGCACGTGGATGCGGAAATGTTTGTTGAGTCCAAACTTATGCACAAAAACACAAACAACTGGGTTGCCCTGAGAGCAGAAATCTGCAGCATTTTGATCTGTTTGCCAGCGTCACGCAGCGGCGGCGGCTGCTGCTGCAGGGGGTTTTGGCCCTGAGCAGACGCAAACCGAGGAGGTTTATTTCGCATTTGCAGTGGTTTATTAGCGAGAGTTCTTATGGATGTTCTCCACATTTTCTATCCCATTTGCAGCACACTCACCTACTTGCATGCGCCGTGCCTGTAATCCGTATTTCAACGTGCTTGTGTATGCGCCTCAGAGCGAGAGAGAGGAAGAGAGAGAGGTGTGTGTCCACGCCACCAGCAGCCCCACTCACCAATGTCACCTTCATGAGTGGCTCCATTGCGAGAGCATCCTTCAGAATGAAACAGATTAGCTTTGCAGGCAGGGATGTTGATGAGGTCATCACTTCCCAAGGTCACACTTACACACGTGTACCTAAGGGCCCACTGGCATTAACAGTCCCCACCTCGTCCCCCCCTTTACACACACACACACACGCACACACACACACACACACACCTCTTGAGGTCCTGGAGAGCCTCAGTTCAACCCAGATCTAAATAAGTCCAAACATACCACATCCAGCAGAATAAAGCTCATTGTAACGTTTACCAATACTACCAGTGTCATTACATTACATGTCAAGATTGAATTTAAAGTCTCTTTTCAGTTTTTCCACATACTAAGAACTAAGATCCGATGACCTGAACCAGATTGTGAGTTTAGTTTCATCTTTTTTAAAGGGAAAAACAAAACCCAAAAAAAAAAAAAAAAAAAAAAAATTCTGTGCAATTCTGTGCAAATGCTCACAATTAATTAGAAAATATGTATTTTTAATAATTTTACCCAAGACAGGAGGATTAGATCCAGGTTTGCATTTTTTTTTTTTTACATCTAGAGAACATCTTAAGTAAACCTTTAAGGCCTGTGGTACATACCTGTTACTAAGGGCATGTCAAGCATAATTAAATATGAATCAGCGTGCGATATGGATAGGTCTGCCAATTAAAGGGATCGCGTCCTTTAATGGTTTTAGGTCTGACATACAGATTGGAGGTTTAGATGGAGATGGTAGTTTTGATAACTCAGAAAGTCTTATTTCCATCAGTTCAAACACAGAACATGTTCTGCCACTGCTAATTGGAAAAAAAAGGAAAACCCAGACATCTACGGCATGATGCTGCCACTACCATGCATCTCCACAGAAGATGTTGGCTTCATCCATCTTCCTATCAAGTCTTCTAAACCTTTTATAGCAAATACTGTCACAGAAAAGCAGATCCCAATGACTTTTACTTTGTTTGTTATGTTTTGTTGACTTAGGTCTGAACTTTAACTGGACCAGAGTGACCAGAATTAGCTCCGCCCAGCTCTTCCCACAGCATGATGCTGCCACCACCTTATGATTTCATTATGGTGCGTTATTTTGGTCGCACTTGACAAGAGCCCCTTCTATCCCATTTGATTTTCTCTTTGGCTTTCTTTAGGCCACTCAACCATGATTTTGCCCTCAATAATAACTGGGCTAAGCAGCTACTCATTATGAATATCAGTCACTGCATCCTGTGTCTGTGAGCATCAGATTCTCTCCTGGGGTTGTGCAATTGTTCGGCGAACATGCAGAAGATGTACAACAGCCTACATCTGCATGCCTGCTAATTTTCCTCCAGTGACTCTCGGCAAAAGGCAAATCTCCCTGCCGTACAGTGCGACATCTCCCGTCTTTATCCCCCTCCCCTCATGAGACAATGAACACATTGAGTCAAATCTGTTTCCACAGCCTGTGAATAAGAGACAGGCAGCTTTGTTTTTGCACCAGCGCGCGCGCGCGCGCATGCACACACAACGCACGCACACAGACACGGAGATAAAGAACAAACGTGTGTGTTGCGCGCGAGCACACCCGTATTTGTGTAACCAAGCGCAAATGTGTACGAGATGCCTGCGTCATGCGTTCGCCATGTGAGTCACTCGTTCTTATGTAGGGCTGCAAGTGGTGAGTAAGAGCCCTTTACTTTCTCGATCGTCTCTGCACGCGCCCTCCGGGGCCCCGAGCGCGAATCTGCCCCCTCCTCTTCCTCCATGCCCGTCCATGCTCATCGCCCAACAGGTTGCTCTGTCAACGGCGTGCACGCAAACGCACTCGGAGCTGGACAAGTAACCACGTCCCAACTTATTATCCCAGATGACGAATGAAACATTTTCCTCTCATCTGTTCATCTCGGAAACCTGACGAGGTGACCGAGGCTGCGCTCAGCAGAGCAGGACCTTGCTGTCTTGAAGTCCTGCTGGGATAACTGCAGGTGAGACATGGAGGAGACGCGGACGAGGAGGACGCAAACACTCTGAGTGACGTCTGTGTTTGATGACTAACTCTGTTCGCGGTCCAGTGGCCTGGTGTGTCTTTGCTTCGGGACTGCGAGCATGAAAGCTTCTCGGCAGCTGCGAGTCTGAATAAAACACGAGCCAAACGCATCACAGCTCATCATCGTGCCCACGTTGCATTGTTGCATATTTTAGTCTCCTATTGTTTGTTAGGATGGGAACACATTTTAGACCTCCGTCTGTCACGATTTTCAGCCCTATTCCGCCATCTAGTGGCGACACGAAGGACTGCTACGGAATCCACTGAAACTGCAACGGTGCGAGAGGAGAGGTTTGTTAAAGAAAAAAAAACTGGATTATTACGTAAACACTGGTAGTAATATGTTTATAATTAACTTATAAAATTACATTTATTGTCACAGACAACAACAATATATAAAAAAAGATTGCACAGGAATATCGGTACACGAAAACTAGGGGATTGAATGAACAGCAGAAATTTTTTTTTTTTTTTTAAAGTGCTTCTTCTGAACAGGAACTAGTGGCTCTCAAAACTTTACAAAACCCAATTAAAACACCAATAAATGAGACCATGACAAACATTTACATTTATATTGTACAATTCAACTGGAAGCGAAGCAAGTAGAATCAGAATAATGTCATGGCAATAACCAATATATCGCTAATTGATATGCAATAAGGTTGATGAATGTTGAAATAGCTAAACAGGGTTAACATTTTTTTTGCATTGGGATCATTAAAAACAAAGATCGCAAGTAGTGATTACTCTATGCAGCTACATTTGCCACACAGCAAATTTGTTTTGAAAAATAGTAAATAGTAAAGGATGTAGATTAACTTAAAGGTGGAAATTAGAAGAAAATTATTCATCATGGTCTCACTGGTGTAAGTCGAAAAACATTGATTAACTTAAAAGTTAATAAATAAAATCAATAAAAGTTAACACAGGGGTTAACTTTTGAGAATAATTGTCAAAGATGCAAACAGAAAAGACAGAAAAGAATAGAAATAGAAACAATCAAATCTATTTAAATGGACTTTTTAGAAATTTTATGCCACTCTGACGACCTGTAGGGGACAAAAAAAAGGGGAAATAACAACATGAGAGAGTCCTTCCTTCATCAAGGCTAAATAAAGCCTTATTTGTCTTTTCTTTTTCTAAGAAAAAGTGTCAATAAACATTCCTTTCAGTCGGGTAGCTTCTTTTTTTTTGTGCGTGATTGTGGCTTGAAACAGGAACTACCCTTCGGACCGCATCAAGGAGGGGAATTAAACTGTGCCGTCTCCACAAAGTCCATGAAGGAGGTGACATAAAAAATTTTTTTTTTTTTTTTATTGATTTTGGAATGTCTTTTGATTCCATGAACCCTCTTCACTTGATTTTTTTTGCTTCTTGCTTGCAACGCCTCTTCGTCATTTGGCCCTACATGGACTCATCCTCGTCTTCTTGTTCGGGCAGGGGGCCGGGGCAGGGCTCCATGGTGACGGTGATGCCCATGCCGCTGAGTCCGACGGGCATGTCGGTGATGAGCGCCCACTCGTTCTGGTCCGGACAGTAGCACTCGACGCTGGACAGGAAGCCGTGCTGGTTAAACCCGCCTGAAACAGAGCGGCGTTAAAGAAGGAATCAGCTTAAAGTCATTTAACCAGTTTATTAGCCCAGTTCAGGATTAGCAAATATAGATTTTATGTATAGGAACTCGATATCCATCGAGCATGTTTTCACTACCTGCTGACATTAAAGTTAAAGCTAAAGCAGAGTCCATTCCTTCTCTGTAAAAACAAAGCATCACCTGCTTATCGACCTGCCTGCAAAACAATCAGAATGACCTAATTAGTTTATGGTATTATTGTTCTTCTTCTCAAGCTTCAAACTAACAAACCAGAAGAAGAATACTGGAAACACATAAACACACAGAGATTTTATGACCTGGGCATAAAATCAGGTGTCGTTAAAATTATCTTACGCTGCCTTAAAATGGCGCCCGTTAAAACGATTTTATTCTGCTTCGCATTACAAACTCCAAAGTGTTTAATCAGGATTTTTGGTGGAAGACCAGTAGTGCGTCAACGATAAAGTGTTACCACAGATTCCTAATGGCGTGGACTTCGACTAGGCCATTCTAAGACATGAACACACTTTGATCTAATCTATCTGCACATCCAAAGAAAGTTGCATGTAGGTAAAAAAAAAAAAAGTTTCTTTTGCACCTTCCTTCACACATTTCCTACAGGACATTTGACAGAAAAGAGGGATTCTCATGCTTTCTTTAAACGCCGTAGCTGAACTCACAAACGTTTACTAATTAGCTGAGTGCAAATGGTTGCACTGGAGTGCTAATTAAAATGAAGTCCTTATTCGGATTTATGCATATACCATTGGAAAAGGCTAAATATGAAGGTTGACAAATATAAATGCAGTCTTAAGTGCAATTTGATGGAAAAATAATTTGTTTCTATTGCATCACTTCCTTAATTTATAAAAATGGAGACAACATACAATCAGTGTATGTGCTACTTATGTGTCTGTTTGCCTGAAGTTGGATGTAATTACAACATATTTAAATTATGGACTTGCATAAAGTCTGCACGTTTACGCACACACTGCAAAAACGTCCATCTAAACATTTCCACAAACATCAGCTGAGGAGAAATGTGGCAGGCAGACGTTTCAGCGCATTTAGCAACTTGACAAGATTTTTATACATTTTGTTTTCCTTTCAGCTCATCAGCAAAGCGATTTTGTCTCCAAAACTGCTGCAGACGTTACACACCATCAAAACACCACTGAGTTTTTTCTGACTTGTGTGTTATGCGGCCGACATCAGCGCCGAGACTGACCGAAGACGTAGATGCGTCCCTGGTGGGCCGTGACGCCCAGCGCGCTGCGGCAGTGCTTCATGGAGGCCCTGGGCTCCCAGATGTTCCTGGCGGTGTTGTAGCGTTCCACTGAGCACAGCTGGTCCCGCCCGTCGTAGCCTCCTATGGCGTACAGGTAAGAGTTCATGCTAACCAATCCTGCAAAACGCACACAAAAAAAAAAGTAGAAGCAAAATCAGTCGGAGATTGTTAATGTTTATAGTTAAAAAAAACAACAAAAAAAACACAAGTGTGGTCAAATCCAGCTCACCCAGTCCACTGCGTCTAGTGTTCATGGGAGCCAGAGGGTGCCAGGTGTTCGAGTCGGGCAGGTATCGCTCAGCCGTGCTCCAGCGGTTCTGTCCGTCGTACCCCCCCACCACGTACAGAGCCCCCCCGCAGGCCGCCACGCCCGCTCCGAGTCGAGCCACGGACATCGGACACACGAAAGACCAGCGGTTGCATTCCGGATCCCACCTGCAGGGAGCAAACGGCATTCAGTCAGTCGGGCGATCGTCCACCATCTACCTTTAATGACTTTACTCAACAATCGGTCCCAATAAATCACCGCAGCACTTCTGCAGACTTCAAACGGATGCAGAGGGAGGTGCGGCCGAGTGCAACGACCTCCTTGGTCTGCGAGAGCCAGTCAACTTTGAGTGGATTAGGTTAAGCCCGCAACCGTGCTCGGCAAATATTAACAAGCTTTATAGCGAAGCCGAAGATGTTGAAACAGCACAGGAGGCCGGCTGGAGGCAAACATGTTGACCTGGAGACACTTTAAAAGTTACCGGCTCAAGACGACGCCAAGATTTAGCATGAAAAATTAAAGTTGTTGGATTTGCTGTAAATATACGCTCCTGCATATCTAGGAATTTCTAAAAAAAACTAAAAAACGTTTAATTTGCAAAGCTGCAGAATGTGAGGCATGGAGGGGGGGGGGGGAATCATAAGTGGTATAGTTCAGGTTAATGATCTCAATAAACAGGATGAAATTACAAGCAAATAAAAATTTGTTCTTAAGATTAATTTAATTTAATTAATTTTTGCAGCGCATCAAATCTCGTCTCTGTAAACCTCATTATTTTAATAGCATGCATTAAATTCTACTTTTTTTTCTCTCTCTCTCTCTCTGCCCCCTCGGGACCTTCTTCAGAAACTCGTTTCTTGAATGAATTATACATAACACCCACCGAGCTACACTTGCACAAAGTAAAACAAACGTGAATCTTTAAAGAGATAAAAGGCAGGGGAAGGTCGGCCGGGAGCGCCAACCAAACTTGGTTTCAATTGGAGGCATCTGTCAGCGACTCCGAAAACCTCTCCGTAATGTGGAACGAACGCTTAAAACGCTCAGTGCTGACACGGCTTTAGAGGTAACAGGTGTCTGTGTGCAGCAACGTGCTCTCAGAATATTGAATTCAATTCAGTCAGACAAGTCGGGCGTAAATGCTGAAATACGTCTCTATTAGCCAACACGGTGCGAGTTTGATCTTTAGCTCCAATCTTATCGCGCCGTGTCCGTATTGTTCGACATGTCAGGGAGTGATCGATGCGTCTCTGTTCTTTGAGCGTATGAGGAAGGAAGGAGCCTCTGACCTCAGAGCCTGGGGGCAGGGGGCCGATGGGGTTTCAGGTCAGAGACCAAGCAAAGCTAAAGAGAACCAAGCAGGAACAGCAGCAGTAGAAGAAGAAGAAGAAGAAGACAATTAGGCAGGAATGGCACATTTAAATTTTCATTAGTGGAAACCTGAGAGGAAGAGGAAGAAAAAAAAAAAAACAACAAGGCGAACAAGCAGCAGAAGTAAGAGCTGAATGCAGAGAAATGTGGAGAAAAGTCTGCATGCTCTCCAGTTTGACCAGATGCACCTGCATATACCCCAATAGTTGGTACAAATGTGCAAATTCAAAAAGTTAAAAAGCTTGTTTAGGAGCCAACTTTTGCTGCGCCAAACTTCACATCACACTCATGTGTTTCAGACGAACATATAACCAAACCCAGAGACGATTTTGATGCCGAACCATTAAATCAGGGAGGAAGGAAACAGACAAAGTCCTGCAGTGTCTCTGTCCAACATGACAGGAAAAGACCTCAGATCTTGTCAGATTTGATGTTCACTGATGATGTGGTTTCTTTCAAGACTGATGATGTCTTGCAAACAGATTTTTGTCAAGTAAAAAAAAAAAAAAAAAAAAAAAAAAAATATATATATATATATATATATATATATATATATATATATATATATATATATATATATATACAACTGTAAACAGCTTGGTTTACAGTTTTTTTGCGTCATGCATTTTGTTCTTTGATTTGGAGTTACAAATCGATCTGTGCTGCGGTCACCTTGACCAGGTGTCCTTGGAAACGGCATCAGCATTAAACCTTTGACCAGCTAATCCCTCCTCTCCTCTCGTGGTATTTTACCAGCAGCAGAGTATGCATGTAATGACGTTATCTCCTCATCTCAGTTTAACCGTATTGACGCCGAGGCTGTTCCGTGAATTTCTTGCCTTGTTTTTTTAATAACATAATTCTTATTAATGCTTATAACATTTATTCTTTACAACACGTTTTAAAAGCATTAATCAAATTCATCATCTCCTCATGAAGCCGGTGCAGATGAATGCCAATGAATTGTCCTCTTAGAAATCCATTGTTTTTGAAAAAGGGCTAAAAAAAAAAAAGAAAGAAAATCATTTCATGGTAACAGAACGACGTCGACGCAGCTACTTCAGGCAGCAAGGAGATGCAAAGCATTCCCATCAAGATTGACATTCCAGAAAGGTTTGCCCCAACATGTTTTGTCTGATTTGGCTACAAGCAGTAAATCTGCTGAACCACTTCTGCAGGTTTCACTGAGAAATACCCAAAGGGAGGCTCACCGCGATTTAAAAGTAAAGCAGTGAAACTCTCATCTCCATTCATCCTGTCGCTCATGTTGAATTATTTCTGGAGGGCCTTCATAGATCAATGCACACAGAGTCTCACCTCTCCACCGTGTTGTGATGCACGGAGCCCTGGGAGCCGCCCACGGCGTAGATGCAGCCATCCACCACGGCCACGCCGACCCGGTTCCTGGGGATGTTGAGGGAGGCTCGCTGGCTCCACTGGTTGGTCATCGGGTTGTAGCAGCACAGAGAGCTGGAGTCCGAGTTAGTCTGCAGAGACAGGTTCCTGCCTCCCACCTGGATATTACAAAAACAGAGAAAAAGAAAATCACATGAAAATCGTCTCATTTCAAGTAACCTAAATCTAAAGAAAAAAAAAAAAAAAAAAAAAAACATTTTTATCCATGCATTCTTTTGATCAATTTATAAAGGAAGGACATTATTTA